ATCAGTAAATATGATTACAATTTAAATGCATTAATTTGACTAATTAATTTTTTTAAATTGTGTATTATATGATTATTTATAAAAATCATTTATTTATTATAAAAATTGAAAATCACTACATCTGTGAGGACTTATTATCCCACACGATGATATGATTAATTTAAGTCTTTACGAAGATTCTTGAAATCTCACGTGGGACTTAAATATTTTATTAATTTAAATTATAAAAAAGAGAGTTAATTTTTATGATAGACCTTTGAAACCCATATTAACAAACAAGTTTTGCTCTCATATCTACAAAACTTTATTGATTTACACGATATGACATCATTTTAAATGCCTGCAGAAATTTTCAAAATCTCACACCAAAGATAAATAACAAACAAATATATACTCTCTTATTTCATTAGATGTCAATTACAAAATTGAAAATTCATCAAAAATGAAACTCCCTTCTGGTGATGACATAATGTGCATGCAAATAGATAAAGAAGGTAGAGAATCATGTTGAGACATTATAAATAAATAAAGGGCCTCTATCAGTATAAGGATCAAAGTCAAGCCACCACCTATCCACATATCCTTTTAGGCTAAAAACATATTCAAAAACCCTGTCTAACAATCACACTAATTCTTTCATTATCTAAGATAAAATTATAATGAGATTATACCTAAAATTAAATTAGGCTAGTTATAATAGCAAGCAAAATTTTATTTGCAATCTCCTTATCATTTTTCTTCACACGTTTGTGTCCATCAAGCCATACATGAACATATGTAAAATTTTGCAGTGTTCATAGTAAGAATGCTTCCAGAAACACCAAACAAAGCCAAAATCCATATCCGAGAATTCTAATGAAATGCAAGCATCTAAATGATAAAACAGGCATATGTCTCCAACACTGATCAAAGCTTATAGATATTTAAACATGAAATTTGTTTGGAAATAATAAACCGAAATCAGACGTAAACATTCCAAATTCAGAAGCAAGCATATTAGAGAACTTGTATGTAGAACGTCTTCTTCCTCTCAATATCCTAGATATGTCTCACTGTTTCTAACCAAGAATCTTCAGTTTTTTTTAGCAACCCCCTCCCTGATCTCGATCTCAGTTCCTTTCCTCTCCCAATCTCTTTTTTTTAGAAAAAACTCGTCCCTCTTGATCTTTTCCTCCTCCTCTCCCAATTTCTTGTTTCCAGAAAAAAAAAACACTTGTCTCTCAGTCTCTCGGTCGCCCCCTCCTCTCTGTTTTTTCTTTTTTTTTCTAGAAAGAAAAGCTTATCTCTCAGTCTTCATCGCCTCTCCTTCTCCTCTTTCTCTTAGTCTCTGTTTTTCTTTCAGTTTTCTCGTCCCTCTGTGTCTGTCTCCTACACTCGGTCATTGCTCTCTCTCTCTCAGTGTCACTCAGAGTACAAAAATTTTGATGAGCACTCTTTGCTACAACAAGTTCATGATTTTTGATACCATCCTCCTTCCTACTCTCCTTCTGCTACGATGCTCTCTCTCTCTCTCTCCTCGATTTTTTACTCTGTTTCGTGCCCTCTCCTCACTATTAATCCAACCCTTTTTTTTCATTCTTCTTGTGTGCATCTGTACTCTGTCACTCTCAGCTTTCCTCCTATCTCTGTGCTCTCTCGTTCCAGCTTAAAGACCCATGTCCCATACATGCTATTGTTTCTACATTTTCGTCCGTCCTCGTGCTCTGTTTTTTTTTTCTTTTTCTGCAACCAGCCTCTCTCACTCTAATTTTGGTCCCTCTATCATGCACACCTCTTGTCCCCTTTTAAAGCAGAAACAGGGAAGAGCTTGCGTGCTTGCAGCTCGCGTTTCTATTTTCTTTCTGTGCATTTTTTCTCCGTGTGCATTAGCTGCTTTGTCTGGTTCTTCTACGTTTCTCTCTTTTTCTGTTGCATGGCCGAAGCTATGGCTCTACCTTCATATCTTCTCTTTTTGTTCTTTGCTTATGGCTAATCTTGCGTCTGTGCTCATTTGCTTTCTGCGTTTTTTTCTCTATGGTTATCAGCTGCATGCGAACCGCATGAAGCTTGTGATGAAATGCTGATCCATCAATGTTTCATCCAGCCTTTTTTTTTGCTTTTAATTTTTTAAAATTAAATTAACACACACACACACACATTTAATGAAAAATAAGATTTAAGAAGGGAAAATTTAACTCTCAAAAGTTGACTCTCAATATTTTTGAATGATTGAGATAATTTAGGAGAGATTTTAAAAAATTTAAGCAAGACTATTATTATTATTTTTTGAAAATATAATCCTAAAAAAGGATTAAATTTTATTTTTGTATTTTTATATTTTTTGGTTTTTTAATAAACTAAAAGAAATAAAATCTTAATCAACAAAAGATTATTTATGATAAAATAAAATTAAACCTTATTAATTATTTTTTTTAAAATATAATCCTAAAAAGAATTAAATTTTATTTTTGTATTTTTATATATTTTTGATTATTTATTATTATTTTTATTAAATTTAAAAAATATCCGGACAAAATACAATGTTCACAATGTGAGTTGGAACAAGAAAAACAAAGGGCTTGGGATCTATCACGGGAAAACCTAGAACCAAGCCTTTCTTATGAAACTAGGATAAAGACTAATGAAACAAAAGGATGACTCATGGGTTCAAGTTATCAAGTGCAAACATAACTATGGTAATGACTTGCTTACAACTATCAACAAGAAGAGGCAGGATCTAATCTTTAAGCAAGAACAAAAGCTACATGGGAAGAAGTACATGAAGGTATAGAGTTATTTAACGGTGGGCAGCACATAAAGTGCAAATGGGAAAAACATGGTGACTTCTTAATGAAGTTAGCATACTGTCAACTATTGAGAGAGGATCAAATAGAGGATAAAATACGGGGAAGAGTTTGGAAATTGAATCTACCTCAACAGTGCAAGTCTTTTATGTGGCTTGTTATTCACAAGAGATTGCCTACAAATGAGGCATGTAAAAATAAAAAAAATGAACACAGATGACCAGTGTGCGTGGTGCCCAAACTGCATGGAAAACTCACTATATGTGCTTCGAGATTGTCCAGAGACGCATCAACTTTGGTGCCGTCTGGCTTGACCTAGTCATCTAGCTATGTTCTTTGACTTAAATCTCTCTCAGTGGCTTAGATGGAACTTGAATGATGCAGGTAGCAAGATGCATTCGAATTGGTGTGTAATATGTTTTCTATGTGCTGCTGGCTCATTTGACAAAGAAGGAACATGCATGTTTTTGAGAATGAAACTAGAAGTAATGAGTCCCGATATGCCCAAGCACTTTTTGTCCTCTCTAGCATGATCAAACAGAAGAACTCCTTAGCCGGGGTAAATCTATCAGGCAACGTTATTGGGCCTAGGTTCGCTACTTGGAGTGCCCCCTTTGGGATGGATCAGCATTAGCGTCGACGACGCCTTCTTCCAAGTACTTTATATCTGGATTTATCCATGAAAAGATTGGATTTAATAGTCTAGAAACTGAACTTTGGGCGATATTAATAGGACTGGAGGAAACCTGGGACCTGGGATATAGAAAGGTTAATGTTGAAAGTGACTCTCTTGAAGCCATTCAACTTATTAGCAGAGAACCATGCTCATGCCATCAACTTAATCAGTTAGTCGACGAGATTTAAGACCTTCTTTAAAGAGTGTGTACTGTCAGTGTGACATATATATGTAGACGTGCCAAACGCTATTGCTGATAAGCTAGCTAAACGTGAGCTCAATAGCTGGCCAGGGTTTGGTATAATGCTTTTTCCCCTTTTATTAGCTGATTGTAATAATAACCCCTACCCTTAAGCAGGCTGCCTCCTTTTATCAAAAAAATAAAAGAACCTTTTGTTCTTGGCCAGGGCAAGAGCTTTTGTTCAAAAATCTTCTTCCATTGTTAGCCCTGTCGTTCCCCGTTAATAACGACGAGCAATCTCTAATCATTTGGAGATACAATTTTCAAATCTTTGGGGAAATATTTAGATACCAGGATTAATGTTAAAAAGAATAAAACTATTTTTTTGGAATGAAAAAACGCAAATTTTCAATCAATACAAATCTGAGTATTATCACAACAAGTAAGGGTGAAAATAAGTTAAGTTAAGCTAGACTTTGGTCAACTAGGCCTAAGCTTGTGTGATAAATTAAAAGCTTGAGTTTGGTTTAAAGCTTGTATAAAGTTTTTCTTATGACTCAGGCCTGAGCTTACTTAAAGCTTGACCTGACTTAAAAGTTTATTTAAAAGCTTGTTTAAAAGTAGACTTTTTAAATAAACTCGTATTCCAATTTTGAATGTCTCAAATATACCTTAGGGCTATTAGTACAAAATATATAACCTAATTTATCAATTATAATATATAATAATTAAAAGGATTTATCAATTACAATATAATACAATAACAAAATAATAACATTAAAATTAATATATAAGTCTAATTTGATTGAAAACATAATTAAAAATAAAAAAATAGATTGATTAAAAATCAAATTGTGAAAATGATGTGTGTGTAATATATTACATAGTGTTTGTGTATATAGATCGACCTATTGAACTCGTAAATTAAATTTTAAAAGAATAAGCTTAACCTATTTAATTGAATAAGCTTGAACTTTGTTCAACTATTAAAAAAGTCTCATAAGGGTTTGACTAGCTGATTGCATAGGTATGTTATGAGAAAATCTAGTTTGGAAGAACTTGTTTGAGTTTTGTTTTGTATGGCCCTATTTTTAATAAAAAAAAATTGAACTTAACTTAAATATATTTAATAATTAAATTAAGTTAGATTTGAAATAGGTGGGAATATAAGCCCTATTCTCACACTCAGCGACAAGCATGTCACTCTTTTCTTCTTGTCTTTACTTGTACCACACCTATATCAACATTAACCTTGTGAAATTTTTTTTCTTCTTTTTATCGTGAATATATTTGATGTTTTATTTTTCAAAAAAATGATATAAAATATTATAAATTATAAATTATAAACTTTGAAAACCCTCCATCTTCCTGTCGCCGACGTCCGGGTGTGGGCGCCGCGCGTTGATGCTGGTGGCTTCCATCCTTGGTTCTTCTCCTTCCGCCACCGGTGCGCGCTCGCGCAAGTTTCCATTTGCTGCTGCTGCTGCTGCTGCGGGTCGACCTGTGGGGGGTTAGAATCGGCGAACTCTTCTGTTCCCCTTCCTTTGTTCTGCCTCTCTGGCTGTAATGCTTCTTTCTCCTTTCCTTTGTTGCGTTGGTATATGTGTGTTCGAATTCTTCTTCTTCCTCCTTTCTCTGCTGTGATCAAGTATTGTGAAGTGGGTGGTTTAAATTTTGTTCTTCCCCTCTGTTTTAGTTACTGTGTGAGTGGGGCACAGAGGACGGAGTTTTAAGCAAGCTGAATTTGAAGTTTACCGAGCTCTTTTGATAGGTAATTTCACTTTAATGGTTTTGATTGTGGTAGAAGGTGGGCGATGCAATTTGGGTTCTGTTTTCTTTGAGCTTAAATTGAATTTGGGAAGCATGATAAATTTAGAAGGTAGCACTAGCAATGGAGTTCTAAAACACTTTTGTTTTCCCTCAAAAAACAAGGCTTCAGCAATGGCTATTTCTCCATTCGTTACTCTACAGATAATATGCAATTTTACTGTTTAAAAATACTGATTACTGAGAGTTCAAGAGCACTAACTTCCATATTGAACTCCAGAGCTCGACTGGGGAAAGGTCCTCCTCACAAGATGTCTAGAGTAGAGGAAGACGAAGACGCGGAGAAGCGTCATCAATTGAAGCTTGAAGAAGCCCTAGAAATCAAATCGCTCAGGCGTATAATCAGTGCTTACCTCAAGTACGATTCACTACATCCATTTGTCAGTAAAATTTTCTTGCAGGTTATTCATTGTTATTTTGTCAGGAAGATAACATTTCTACCGGTTTAATTAGCAATAATCTGGGTAATTTTGGGATGTCATTTAAGTTGAACTGATTTGTGCTAACAATGATTTCCTTAGTGACTAGGGTTAGGTTGGCAAGTGGCACTTTAGGGTCATCAGTACTTTGAAATGACTAGTGAGGCCTTTCTCATCGAATGAGAGTGGACTACGGTTGGTTTGACTCTAATGAAGTCTTCTGTGAATGATGATATTAGCATTGAATAGGAACTAGATATTATTTGATTTCTTCAATTTTGTAGAAGGTGAAGGAGGCCTGGAAATTGTACAAGTTTGAGATTGTTTTTGACTTTTTTTAGTACTTTAAACTAATATTTCTTGTTTTGCCACCAAGAGAAAAGATAAAATATAGTCTGAAAGATATACTTTTCTTGTTAAAAGTTGAAGCAATTTTTGACCTCTTAAGAGAGAAGCATGGAACTGATATGATGTTATAATACTAAGTAAAAGTAAGTTAAGGTTTAGTTAGTGTAATCAGGGGAGACTATAAAAGTCAGCTTCGTTGTTCTCTCTGGTTTTTCTGTCACCTTCTATCTCATTTTCTTCTTTGTTGCTGGTTTCTATTTCTTTCCCGTCGCTGGTTTATCCTTCTTCATCGCTGGACTGTTTTTTCCTTGGTGTTGGGTTCTGTTCATTTAGCCTATAGGACGCAAGGGTTGAGATGGATGATCAAGTTTTGTGTATTTTGGGACTTGGACTGGGTGCTTGTCTTACTTCAGATTTCTTCACAAGTTGGGATTTCCAATGGGCAAGGACTTATGGTCATGCGTTGCCAAGAAACAGAAGAAATAATGATTGTTGCACATGTGGGCATTTTGCCAGGGAGTGTGTTACAGTTTTTATGTTTATGTGTATGAAAAAGTCAAGGGCACAGATGTCTATCTTAAGGTGGGACCCTCAAGAATGGTACCGCCCACTTAAAGTAGGACAGAAGAAGAAAAACGACGAAATGTGGTAGCATGGGCTATGTACATTTTGCATTGAATGGTTCAAGTCAAAAGACTTGGACAGTAATCCTTTCACTGTTCAAGAGGTTTTTTCCAGACTTTAAAGCATAAGTTCTTCTGTCTGGTTTTCAAGTTTGTACCTTAGGATTTTTCTGTTCTTGACCTTTGAGGGCAAGGTTCTCTTGGGAGGGGGTATTGATATGATATTATAATAAATAAAAGTTAGTTACGGGTTAATTAGTGTAATTAGGAGAGACTATAAATAGATGGGTTAGGGACTAATTTCAATAGGCTTTGGTTAATGGAAATGTGATTCCCTATTTGTCTCTCATCCCTTTCTCTGTATCTTTCTGCTTCTCTTCTCTATATTTCTCTCTTTCCCTCTTTCTCTCTCCTATCAGAATTACAGAGATACATCAGGAACTTTATTTGTAAAGACATAAATATAGCCTCATTTGTATTATATTCCAATGATGTGTTTTCTTTCTTCTGAAATGAAGTGTGCTATTAAATATTAATTGACGTGACTTGCATTATATTTTGCTTCATTTTGCTGCAATACTGCCTTCTCTAGTATAATTTAGCATTGATCAATTTCAGAAAAAAAGATGAGATTCTTTTATCTGGCATTATTTTTGGTGGCAAGGACAAGATGTTCTTGATATAGAGAAGGGTTTCAATACTTGAGGAAATATTGGTGAAGTGCTAGTAGCTAGAAATTAATTAGGTGAGAGAGAATAAAAAGGAGTCCTGTTAGTTAAGAGTAACTAGCCTGTTTGAAATGCACTCATACTACTATTAACAGGGACCCATGTGCATGGTCTGGTTCTGTTGACTGTTGAATGATTTGAGTATGATACAGAAGCTTACCTTTTATTGATACAAGCTGACAGTCATATCAATTTTCTTTACGGAAGTGATTTTTTTCTTTTTTGTTTTTCCCTTTTCATTTTATGTACTTCATTGGAGTGACTCCCATATGTCATAAATTTACAAATAAATATACTTGTATAAAGCTGGCCGAATTGTACTTGCTTCTTAAGGCATGTCTGTCTTTTTTTTTTTTTTTAAATTATGATCTTTTATCTTAGGCATATTTTTTTCATGATGAAAATGCAAGCTAATATAACTTGAAATTTGGGTATTAATTTTTGTTTTTCACATCTATAAAATCTGATACTGCTCTTTATTTTTTATTATCTTTTGATGTCGCACTGCTTTAAACCTTGGAAGTTGCAATTGGATTACCATTCATTGACTTTGATGCAGCTATCCTGATGCTTCTGAAGAGGATGTCAGAAGATATGAAAGATCTTTCAGGAAACTTCCACCTGCACACAAGGTATTTCTTGTAGTACAATAGTAAGATTATAGCGAAAGAGGGTGAGTGTGAAGAAGAAAGACCGAAAGGGTGAGGTACAGAAGAACTAAAGTGGGAGAAGGAATTGTTGATAATCTGAAAACTTTATTATCAAATCAATCTGAGTTTACCCTGGTTGTCTAGTGCAACTAATGGCTTTACATTTGGTTGATCAGATAACTGGTAATATAAAATAAAAGATAATATCTACTCCTAATTCCTACAAAAGATAAGATAAGATGGGAATAATATTAAGCCTATAATATTTATCAATATTAATATAAATTATTATTTTCTAGTCCTTATCCTAATAAAATATTATTTTTATCCTTATCTTTAACCCAAGTTTACAAATACTATATCTTTCTTAGTCTTTTCCCATTCTCCATTATTCTTGCTTGGTTGTTGAAAACTTGACCTCAAGTTTTAAAGTGTGGAATCAATAAGAAGAAAATCCATCTTGGGGCATTAGCTAGGACCAATAACATTACTTTAAAATATGGTAACTAAAGTAGCTTTCGGGCACTCTTAAAGTCTACTCCCTCCGTTAAAAAATATAGGGCATTTTTTGAGGGGGTTGAATGTTAAAAAATATAAGGCATTTTTAGTGTTTCAAGGTATAATCATTTTGCTTTTTCCAAAAGTGCCCATGATAAATAAATTACTTTATATTTATTTTAAAGTGAGACACCTATTAAATGAGGGTAAATATGGAAAGATGATGTTAGTTTGACGATAAATAATTACTTTATTGCAGGCGAGATTCGGTTAAAAATGTGTTATATTTTTAAATAGAGGGAATATAAGTTTAGTTGGTTGAAATAATATGGTTGTGATAATCTGCATCATAAGTTATACCTTCTAATCATTGTCTCAAATAATTATGGGCTTGGCAGCCTAAATTACATCTAATTTCTCTTTGAAATCTACAATGTTGCTATCATCATGTTTGATGGGCAATTGAAGGGTTCCACGATGGTAACATCAGGTTCTTCAGAGATGGTTTCTTTTATTGCGGACATTTTTCTTCTGCCTTTGGCCCTTCCAAGTTTTTTTTTTTTTGGTGTGATTTGTATGCTTAATCAAGAGCACAACATACCCTTTCCAAAACAATGGTCAAGCTGGTCAAAGGAAATCTCTGTGCAATGCTTTGAGTGTAACTTTTATGAACCCCATGCACTAGTAGTTTCACTGCTGTATGATGGCACATGTGATGCGTGTGCTGCAGCTTTGGGGACAGGCTATATTTGGTGGTGTATCTGATCGTGTGGTAACATGCTGGTTGGAGGTGTGACATCCAAATTGACAATGATAATTATAAATGTCCAATGAGTTTTGCGGCAGAGGTGGCAAAGGGAGTGGTTGGAGTGTATTCTCACGCTGTTATTACTTGTTGTAGAACAGTAGCAAGATTATAGAGAGAAGGGGAAAAAGAAGGACGGAGTTACAGAAGAAATAAAGGGGAAGAAGAAAACTTGTAGCAAATCTAAAGGGTTATTATAAAGCCAAAGGCTAAATGAGCCGTAGTATGACAATATCCTTCTTATTCTCTTTCCATTCTCCATTAGTCTTCTCTTATGATGATGAGGCTGTTTTGCCATCAATTTTGGACGTCTTTTTTTTTTTTAAATAGAGAATGGCAGTGAGAGCCTGTAGAGGAGAAAAATAGCAATGTGGGCCAAACACAACTGAAGGTTTATCTATTCACAACTTGTGCTCAGCCTTCATAGCCATTCTCCCTTTTTTTTTTTTCAGTAACTTCTACCAGATTGTGCTCCCAATGCATCCCTATCAGATTTCTTTTTTGATTATTTTTGAATTGCCTTGTTTTTACGTAGTTGTGATTCAATTATGTGTTTTTTTGTTTATTCTAATGTTCCTCTTTGTACTTTACTTTCTTCTCTGTGTTTTTAGGCTTTATTATCTCATTATCCTCAGAAGATTCAAAGGTTGCGCCGGTAAAATTACTTTACCTTCTCTTTTCTTTTATCTTTTTAAATTTTGTCATATTATTTCTTTGAAAGAATTTTGGAGTTGTTTTAGAGTAGATGCCAACTGCCCTTGGGTCCAATGACACTTTTTCCATCACAGCGACAAAGAGAAAATAAGGAGGTTCTAAACTTGTTGCTGAAGATGGAATTTCTGATAAGTTGAATAGCCTTGAATGAAGATTGTCTTGTGTATAGTTAATATGATGAGGATACAGAATTAATGATTACCTTTCAATTTGGGCATGGTTTTGTTTTATCTGCCATATTTGGACTAGGAAAGGGTCAATGTCATTGTTGATTATTAAATGGGATGACTCTGTCTGTGTATGATGCTGTTTAGTTATGGAAACAATTTTTTCGAAAGAATAAAATCATATTGAATAAAAAAATCCCTTTAATGGTATGTTTTGTTCAATCATAGAACACAGCATTTCCAAAGCAATATTTTCAAAGGCTTAATTGCTGATAGAGCACAATAGTATCATGCAATTTATGTCACCAATTCCAGCTAGTGGGATAAGGCTTTGTTGTTGTAATGATATGCTTGGTTCAATGGAGGGGAGGGATTTAATATTATCTTGTTTGATTTGATTGGAGGGGAGAGGAAGGAAGGGATTTTAATGTTTCCTTGTGTGTTTTAAAAGGGGAGGGAAGGGAAAATAATAATAGGTGGACAGATATACATCATCATATTTAAATTGTCCCCCCTCTTTTATGTTGATATTAATGTTTAATATCATGGGATGATGAATACTTGATGTGTGTGGGTGTTTGTGTGTTTATATTTATAAATATATGAATAAAGTACTATCATTCTTCAAATAGCACCTAGGCGATAAAAGAGATGCCTTTTCCTAAGCTGAAAAGGGTGAATGAGACATGTCATGCTAACAGATGAAGCAGAGCAAAGCTTGGGGATTTTTTTGATTATATGTGGGTGGGCATTTATGGAATATCACAATAATGAAGGGGGTATTTCAGTTACACTACAACAAAATTATGTCCCTCCCCTCCAAATCCTCCCAGTTGGAGGGGAGGGGAACTCCTCTAAATTTTTATTACTCCTCCACCGCCAAAACTTGTTGCTTCCAAATCAAGTAATTTGTTTTGTCAAGTTTAATGAGAACAAGATTCAAAAAGCACTATGCTTTAAACTTGTTATGGTTAGAGGTCATCTTTCAGATGACTTGCTTGTTGTTCTGCAAGAATTTTCCGTGGATCAGAATTATTCAGAAATGCTTTGATACCATGAAAGAATTCTACCCAATCTGCAATTCATTCATTTACTTGATCATATATTTGTACTCTATATCATAAACCATGACAGCCAAACTATATATAACTAACCTAACAACAATAATAGCAAGTCTTATCTCACTAAGTGGGGTCGGTTACATGGATTACACAATGCATTGTACTTTATCATCGACCTAAAAAGTCTCATTTAACAACTAGAGTTAAAATCTAACTGGCTGAAAATCTCTATGCTAGCCTCCTAACAATCCTTACGAACCACCTTGGAATTTAAGTTAAAATTTTATCAAGTGCTGGAATCAATTGTTCTTACCTTTAAATAGAACTGAAATTGGATTGGAGCAATATAAGTACATTTCTAGAGGATAAATATAAATTGAGACATTGAACAAACATAATCTAGTTATAACATGATTACAGTGTTTTTTTTTTTTTTCCTTTTTGTAATGGTTGAAGATCATCCTATATGCACATGGATTTCAAGGTTTGCTTGGAAAATTTGTTCAAATATTATTTCATTTAATAATGGCAGAACTGGTTTTGGATGAAAGTTTAACTTAAGCATGGAATCTCATCATGTTTTTGGTTTTTTTGGCCATGTAATGCTGCAGGTGTATCTCCATAAATTCTTATTTCATATTCAACATGCTTCAGGTTAGAGCCAACTTCTTGTTGTGGTGAATTCTTGTATCATCTTTCAATGCTATTTATTTATTTATTTATTTTTTGTGGAGAAGGCAATATTCTATCAATAAAAAACTGTACAAAGGCTATCACACCACATCTTTCAATGTTATTTTATATATATAATGGATTTTTGTAGGCATTTGAACCTCCGCTTGATATGAGCCAGGACATAGATATGGATGAGAACCTGCACACTGCAGTTGCCCAAGAAGAAGATCATGCCATTAAAGAAAACAATGCTTGCTTGCATGAGTCAGCCTCAAAAGCAGAAACATGTTCTTCAGCAAAAAATCAACAAGATTGTGGGGAATGTTGCATTGATACATGTAGATCATCAGTACTGGTCTGTATTAGTGAGGTTTCTTGAACATTTATCACCTATTCTTGATTCAATTAATAAGAATTGTGATGTTTGGTGCGTTCTATCGTTGTTTTTTTTTCCCATTTAGAAATATGACCCTGTAGATGACAACAGGAGGTGGATGTTGAGGGTCACCATCAGTTAAATACTGGCAGCCAGTCTCCATGTTCAATAGATACCAAAGAGACAGACAAATGTGATGGAAATTTTATGCTTGATCCCAATAGAAATGTAATTACTATATTGTTTTAATATCTCTAAATGTAATTACTATTTTGTTTTAATATCTCTAAACTAGAGTTGCCATTTCAATTTTCTGAAGTTCAGTTGGTCTTATATTATCCAGGTTCCATAATGGTAAATTGATGTCGATGGTATTATGATTCTTCGAACAACTATAAGTGATTGTATATGTTCAATTAATTAGATAAAGACAAAACTTCAATTATTGTTGGTGATGTCGCTTTATCTGACACATTGAAAGTGATAGATGAGACATTTTGTGATCAGAGTTAGTTTGAAATGGCTAGATGAACAAATTTTGCTACCTTCTATAACTCTGGAATACATTGCAATAGAAGATGTGAACGAAATATGATAATTGCTCTTATTCTAGTTGCATGGGTATTTGATATCAAAAGTCAAATATATTCTAGAGATATTGCCATTCATTTGCTGAAAAAAGAGAAGAAAAAACCCTCTATTTGTTCTGAGTGTTTATAACTATTAGGAACCTAAGGTTGAAAGACGGCATATCTGATGCTAGTTCCTTGTATTTTATTGTTTTAAAATGAGAGTATAATGAAACTAACTGTTGGACTATCTAAAGTGTTGTGTGTGTGTTTCCCCCTCGCTTTCCTTTATGGGTGAGTCCAATGCACACCATTCTGGAATCCATCACTTGCAGACTGTTCTGTAATAAGCTAGTGATTCTTCTTATATGCTTTCTAGAGGATGTGGAGTTACTTTTATTTGTCATTGTGTCTTTTTTTTGTTACTGTTACTCCCTCATTGGGTTTGGGCTGTTTGGGGCAAAACATGATTCTATAATGTGTTTTTACGAAATGGCTGCTTGACATTTCTCTTTCAAGTACAAAGTTCACTGCATGTTAGATTTCTGAATGCTGTCTATTTCAATTGTAGAAAAATCATTTGGATGTATGATGAATCTAGATGTTTTTTCTTGTTTCAGGCATCCTCATTGCGACAAGAATGGTTGGATCCATCTTTTCAATTGAATGTTCCTTTAGTTGATGTAGATAAGGTATATCCTTGTTACTCCTTTCCATTCTCTTTTTAACCTAGACAGTTGTTCACATGTCACTTAGCAGTTAGCACTGATTCTATGATTCTCTGAGCTTTATTGCTTAAAATGTTTCTGTGTTTATTTTCATGGTTGGTGTGAAGAGGACACTGGGTCACATGATTGTGATGCAATCCTGCTGCTCAACAAGTAAAAAATTCAGAAATATAACAGTAAGACAACTAACAGATCAAGGGAAATGATGAGGTTTGATATTAATAACTCCAAAAGGCTAAATCAGTGTTGCAAGAGCACCTTACTGATTCAGAACAAACCCTTTTCCCTATTACAACCAAAGTACTCAAACAGCAACTAACAATCAAGAACAACAAGAACACTGCAATGCTCACTAAGATGCCCTTTGGCTTGTGAGGGCCAGTCTCTCTTCTCACCAAAATACAAAATATGACTTGTCCACACCCCCCACCAAAAAAAAGGACAATAGGGACTACTATAACCCAAAAGCACTTTGCACAGTCTCCAACATCATTTTCTGCTAAAACAGACCTGAAACCACCCTGAGTCAACACCAAGTCTGTATAGCTTTCCCCTTAAGAGTAAGAATAGCAAAGTCAACATTCAGCCCCTCCAAAAGGTGCTTTTCCTTTTTCTCGTATCTTCCTATGTCTCCTCTTATAGGTTTGTGCAGCAAAAGAGATTCCATAAGATTGTCATTCTATGTTTCATATAAAAATTGCAATTTGAGGCGCTTTGGACAGGATAGTTGGGATTTTAATTCCATTTTCTTTTCAAATTGTGTTGTAATGGTTGGAATCTTTAATAATTAATTTGGAACGTCTGGATCTGGAGAATCTCTATATCTGGTATGATCCTCACAAATTATTTGATCTGACCAATTCTCCCCCCTTATTCCTTTTAACAGTCTTATTCTTGTTTATTTTGTTTCATCATTTATTTGTTTCCTTTTATGTCTAGCTGTTGGACACTTATTGCACGTGATTATTTATTTTCTGTTCTTTTTGTGAACTGTTGACCTGCATGTCTTTCTTTCTTGGGTCGTCTATTTTCTTTTTATTTCTCTCATTCCTCTCCCTGCAACGCATGCTCTTATGCTATGATTTGATGAAAATATATCCATGATTATTCATTGTCTATCGTTAAATGACTAGACAAAATTTATAAGCAATGAGGGAGTAAGAAATATACATCTTAGCCTACTATTTACGCTTAAGTCCTAATCCTACAAAATATTGATGATCTTCTATATTTTTAGCTTCAGTTTCTACAAGATCTTGTTGTCAATAGGCTCTACATTATGCAGTAAGGAATCATTTTCATGCTGACCAACATTTTCCAATTGTTTTCATTTAACTCACGTTTTTAATTGTAGGATGTATGACCCAACTTGAGCCAACAAATGCACTTCGTTTCTCCATGGTCTATGAAAACTGATAGATAAATTTCTCCCAAGATATATCGAAATTAATAGATACATATGCAGTTGAAAGATTATATTTAAAGCTACATAGTTTAGGTTTGAAAAGTGCATTTCAAAGAGAAGACCTGCCACAGAAATGATCCTTAAAGTTACTAGACTTCCTCTATGCTATTGTAAGTGTCATCTGGTGGTCAGGATAATCACTTAATGGAATTATGATGTTGACTATTAAGGAAAATGCATTTTAACTGTTTTTTCTTTTAAATAGTTGCTGTATTTCTTGTTTACAAAAATAAAGGGGATATTAAGAATTGTGCAAACTACAAAGAAATTGAACTTATGAGTCATACAATGAAATTGTGGGAGAGAGTGATTAAGCATAGGTTGGGATTGGAAAATGATATTTTTTTATAATCAATTTGGCCTCATGCTTGGTAGGGCAACTACAGAAGTGATTTATCTAGTTAAAGGATTGATGAAAAGGTTTCAAAGCAAAGGTAAAGATCTACACAGCTTTTATTGATTTGAAAAAAGCTTGTGACTATGTACTGAGATTTGTACTTTGGAAAGCTTTGGAAAATAAAGGAGTTCGCATTGTTTATGTTAGAGCTATGCAAGATATGTATGAGTTGATAACAACCAGTATAATAATGTCAGGCAGTGAAGTAAATGACTTTTCTATAAGAATTGGACTATAATCAAGGACCATGTTTGAGTCCTTATTTGTTTGATTTGGCTCTAGATATTTTGACTGAGCATGTTCAAGAGGAAATTCCTAGATGCATCCTTTTTGTGATGATATAGTTCTTAGTGCGTAGACAAGAGAAGAGATCAACTATAAACTTGAGTTATAGAGGAAGACTTTGGAGTTAAAGGATTTTCGCCTTAAGTAGGAGTAAGACGGAATATTTGCATTATGATTTTGATAAAAGGTTAGTCAGTAGTAATTTGAAAGTGAGATTGAGAAATTAGATTATAACTCAAGTGGAGTAGATATTTGAGAGCTATTATTTAATGTAATGGGGAAATTGATGGGGATGTTCCACATAGGATACGAGTTGAGTGGTTTAATTGGAAAAAGGCTAAAGGAGCTATTTGTGATCAAAAGGTACCTAATAAACTTAAAGGAAAGTTTTACTAAACTGTTATAAGACTAGCTATGTTGTATGTAGTGAATGTTGGGTTTTAAAGGAATAGTAGGATCATAAAATTGGAATAGTAGAGATGATAATGTTGAGAGAGATGTGGCATATACATGTAAATATAAAATTCGAAATGTGTATGTACGAGAAAAAGTGAGCTTGGCATCCATTGAAGGGAAAATGTTAGAAAATCATTTGAGAGGGTTGGACATGTGCAAAGAAGGTTAGGGTAGGCACCAGTGAGGAGAGTAGATTGGATACTCTTGAGCCTTGTAAAGAGGGATAGAGGAAGACTAAAAACAACACTTATGGAGGTTGTTGAACGAGACTTCTTAGAAAACAATTTCTGAAAGCTTGATTAATGATAGAGTACAATGGCATTGAGCAATCCATACAGCTAACCCCATTAATGGAATAAGGCTTCTTCTTGTTGAAATCATGCACTTCATTATTAATTTTGCCCCTCCTCTAGAAAAATGGATTTCATCACTGCATCTGATAAATTTCTGAATGATTTGCAACTTGAATATTTAGAGTAACTTTTTTTTTTTTTTTAAAACCATGCTATATGTTAACTAGCATTTCTTAATACTTCTCTGTTGCTTGTCTAATATATTATGATTATTGCCATATCAAGTCCTTCTATTTGCATATTTCTGAATAGAAGGATTCTAGTGCATTGGTAAACTTTGAAGATAAAATTCTCATCTTGTTTTCCGCTTTTATCTACTTTAATACTGCCTTGGTCTCAGGTCCGTTGTATAATAAGGAATATAGTTAGAGACTGGGCAGCAGAGGTACTACTTATTTGTATATTGAATTTGAATTGTAATTATTGAATGCGAAGCTTAATCTAGAGTTCCAATTTATCTTGTGCATTTGGTATTATGTCAGGGTCAAAAGGAACGTGACCAGTGCTACAAGCCTATACTTGAAGAACTCAATGCCTTGTTTCCTAATCGCAGTAAAGAGAGGTACACCAATAATATCTCTATGTAATGTTCTTATTTATCTACAGAAAGGTCTTATCCAATTTATAGTTTGTTTGAGCAATTTGTAGTTCACTAAAATCATAAAAGTTTTCAAACAGCCCACCTGCTTGTTTAGTGCCTGGTGTTGGACTTGGTCGGCTGGCCTTGGAGATTTCATGTTTAGGTGTGTGCAAATCACTAGGACCTTATAGGATTTCTGTTGCTACATGTTTTTACTATGTCTATTATTTCATCGCATGATGCAGGATTTATCTGCCAGGGAAATGAATTTTCATACTACATGATGATATGCTCAAGTTTTATTCTTAACCAGTAAGGATATTGGACTATATTTATTTTTGTTAATCTCTTTGTATTATAAATATTTATTTGTTGTTAATTTAGCGAATAAAGATTTATGTTCTGATGCCATGTTTTCTGTCTCTGATTTATCTCTAATTAATAAATTGGCATGATGGATCATGTAAGCACCCAAACTGCTGGTGAATGGACGATATATCCTTGGATACACAGTAATTGTAATTCTTTGTCAGATAGTGATCAACTTCGTCCTGTTTCGATTCCTGATATTCATCCTGCCAGGTATTTATATTGACGTGTAATGTGGACTCTCCTATTTTCTCCAACTTTAAAAGCTATATAAGTTCAATATTGCTTTATCCTCATGCCTATAAAGATTCTCATCATATGAGGTTTTCAGTTTATATGTTTAAGTTAGCATTGTTAAAGGAAAAGTAAACTGCTGGGCATATTTTTTTGGAAAGTGAAAGTTGAGATGTTTTGAAAATCCAGGTATTATATGCAAATAACTTGAAGTTTAATGTTGAAAATGACTATTATAGTTTTATTATCATATATATTTATAGTCAACAGCATGAGCTAATACTAGCTTTGATTATATCATGGATATGCCTTTCAAGAAGACTGAAATAATTTATTACTTGCATTCCTTAGGGGGGCTGTATTGCAGACCACTTAAATAGGTTCTGTTTGTCACTATAATTGTTTGCTTTCTCTTCATGTTGCTTATTTATTAAATTTATTTGTTGTGTGACATCACACACCAGAAAAATGCCCTAACTAATAATAATGCTAAAAGGTACTATTCCTTGCAGTGTTTAGTTACCTATCACCTGTTTTCAAATTTGAAAAGAAAAATCTGTTCCAAATTCTTCATTCCTATAGTCACATGATGAAAATGAAGACATGGGTTCCTTGTATAGGTACCAAAATATCAGTACATTTGCTGGTTTATTTTTTAATTATAACCTTGTTGGTTGAATTTTTCTTCCACATCAACGGGGAGCAGTGCAGGTATCACTGAAGGCTTTTCCATATGTGGTGGTGACTTTGTTGAAGTCTACAGTGATCCAAGCCAAATAGGTAAGATAAATAGCATTCCTCTAAGAGTGTGACTGCATTTGAATAGACAGAACCTTGAGATTTTGGTATCCTCCACAATGCAGGAATCATGATCTCCGTATTAATGCTAAAGTTAGAATTGTTAGTTTATCTTCTTTTTTAAATAGGAAAACTGTCGGTCCCACATTGATTGTATTGCAAGCTTAAATATCTTAACTTTGTTACAAATAGATAGAACGCTTGTATTAGGGCTGCCCAAAGTATTCTCTTTTTTGTTTCTATCGTGAACTTCATTTCAGAGGAAATGAAACACAGACTCAACGACGTTTCTTATATGATCTTCCCTGAACTTGTAGTCTTCAGTAGTAGTAACTAATGTGCTGGCTGCCATTCTGTGGTGAATGTCGCATGAGACAAGTTTGTGAATCTTCACTGTTGGATTTATAAATCTCTGTCGATGCTTATTTATTATGCTTCAGCTAGTGCTAAAGAACTGAGACAAAACTTCTAATGCATTTGTCCTTGGAAAAGAAATGAAGTCAAACAATTATGCCATTCAAATTTATGGAGAACTCAATTGATTTTGCTTTGATATATATTTTTTTTAAACCCTGTATACAATACTTTGGCTAAATTATACAAACCCCTACCGCTGTCCTTGCCACCTCCCCCCAAAGGGTCAGGGTTGCGTCCAGACAATATCATATTATGCTCCATTAGTGAAATAACGGTATAATTGATGGCAAGGGGCCATCTGTACAAACTTGAAAGGGAGATTCTGTCAAATTCAACGAGTTTATTTGCACATGGGTTTCAGGTAAGTTTTGTATAAGTTAGCTTTAATATTTTAAAACAAGTGTTCTTATCATTTGTCAGGTTGAGATCTTAAATACAAGAAAAGAGAGGTTTGTTGTTTGGAGACAAATCCAATTTCTGTAGATATTTTGTATTAATTGAATTTAAGATCATAGTTCTAATTCATATATCCATATCAATATACAACAACAACAAGCCTTTATCCCACTAGGTGGGGTTATGTCCATATCAATATAAAAATAGAAAAACATTACGATGCAATTTTTTAATGGGGGAATTGCTCTAAGGTCTTACTTAACATGGTTAATTACTCCTAGATCCTTTGACCACTAAGCTTAGGAGTTGTGTTGTCATTCTCTTAAGCTCAGCTGTCAATGGACTTGGGAGTAATTAACTGTGTTGAGTGGGACTTAGAGCAATTTTTTTAAGCTCGGTTGTCAATGGACTTGGGAGTAATTAATTGTGTTGAGTGAGACTTGTATGTAATTCTCCCTTTTTTAATCCATTGTGATGCTTACATTTACTGTACAGGTGCTTGGGATGCAGTTGTGACCTGTTTCTTTATTGATACTGCGCATAATATAGTTGAATATATTGAAATAATATCACAAATTTTAAAAAACGGGGGAGTAAGTTCCTACCTTCTGTTAAGATATATTTTGTCTTCTTTTTGGTATCCCATTTGTTCTCGTTTGATGTCATGATCGTATAATTGGTTTTGCTTCATTCTTGGGTAAATCGTGACAGGTTTGGATTAATTTGGGTCCTCTACTTTATCACTTTGCAGACATGTATGGACAAGAAGATGTAAGCTTTTACTTTTATCATTCTCTTGATTTCCATTTATTTATCTTTTTGGGGGCAATTTTTGACTTGCCTTTGTTATCACATACGCTGATGAATTTCCATTCTGATTTTTCTCTTGTCTGTAGGACATGTCCATTGAATTGAGTTTGGAAGATGTTAAAAGGGTTGCTTTGCATTATGGATTTGAATTTGAGGTATGCTCAACCAACTTGGTTTTAGCTGCTTTTATTTTCACAAATGAATAATCATGCTTCTGTTGTCTTACTGTGAACTGCAGAAAGAAAATACCATTGAGACAACCTACACTACAAATCCTAGATCAATGATGCAAGTAAGCTTCTAACTACTTTCTCCATCCCTCACTCCGGTGGTTCTTTCTTATACTGTTAGGCCATGTTTGGTTGGGAGTAATGGATCAAATGGAATGGGAACGGGTGAGGGAATGCCCACTTTAGCTTGTTTGGTGCTGGGCGATTTTCATTGTTGGGAATGGAGCATTCCCTTGTTCATGGGAGTGAGCATTGATATCAAGTCTCATGGACCTTGGGAGTGGCTGATCATTCCTGGGAATGAAATTTTTTAGACCACAATGCCCCTTGTAAAGTTCTTTATTTCCAGCATTATCCTCCTTTTCCACCAACCTCCTCCATCGCCACTGCTCCTTTTCTGTCACTGACCTGCATTGTCAGCCTACCTTCTCCATCAAACCTGGCCGTTCAACTCCTCATCTTTAAACTCTCGCCTCCCAATTGACGCTGCTGATTTCTTTTATCATTAGCATCTCTTTTGTCGTCAGTAAAGCAACCTATACCCTCCCTTGATCTTGCTACGGTGATGGATGGTGACACTCTCCCTTCACGATCATGGATCTATCCTTGGCTCCTAATACGATCTTGCTACAGTGAATGGCGACATGAGTAGATAAGTAAATAATGGTTCAAGATGGTGAGGTTTTGGTTTGTGGTGAGTTCAAGTCCGAAAAGGTTCTCAGTTGTTCGGTTTAGATTTGCTTCACTGGTGCCTTCTTCGTCCTGGTTTCCTTGGCAACTCCGGAGGATTTTTTTCCCCATGAGCAGAGAAAGGGCATTATAGTACTTTGCTATAGTAATTATAAATATACAACAAAAATTATATCTAATTCCATTGCAATACCAAACATTTTTTAAAACCCATTCCCACTACAATTCTTATTCCATCAAAAATCATTCTATCATATCAAATGGCCTTAATCTCAATGATGCTTGCATCTTTGTTCAACTACTTTATTGACACTTAGAGATATTTTTTATTTGAATTGTCCTGCTGCATCTATTAAAAACTTTGGTTTGATGATCTATACAGAATCGTTACTTCGCTGCTTTTTGGGTTATGAGGAAAAAATCTCCTGCACCTCAGCAAGTGACCTGATAATAGCAGGCTCAACTTTTGGAACACAAGCTTAGTCCCCTTCCCTGGTCTGGCTTTCTTCTATTTGCTGGGGTGGGGATATTTGTGTGCATTTATGGAGTCACGGTAATCTTTCATGCCATGATGAATTTTGATGTATTTGGTTCGAAGATTCGGAATCCACAAGTTTCTGTATCAATTGAACGTGTGCGCGCATGTTGGAGCTTTTATCCAATAAATTGATTGATGAATATGCATTTTTTAACATAGTAGATGAGGAGATGAGTGTGCTTGTTGAAGATTTCCGTCATTTGCTGGGGGCTTGCAGGATTTTATGTCATGTTATTGATGAATGTGCCACTGCACGACGCTCCTCATCTCGCAGCGTAGCCGTAGCATTGAAATCCCCACACAACTATGCCGTGGGTTCATACGAACTACAAACCTTCATATTTATCCTGGGTCGATAGGGTCGTCGTCCCCGCTCATGATGTCACTTCCTTACTAGCTACAGCTCCCTCTGTTTCGGTCTTTGGGCCTCTAACCTGAGTCTTTATTTTGGGCGTGGTAAAGTTTAGGTGAGCTGGGTTGAGAGCTTATTAGGGAATGTTTCCAGGTTCAATGACCATTTAAATAAGTACTTACAAATTTCTTACTAACCGAGTTTTCATATCAACAGTGAGATTTGATCTCATGATTTTATTGAGTTATGAATCAAATTTTTATCTATATGACTGGCCTTCGTTGGTAAATTGATTCTGAGCTTGGTTTGGTGACTGCCCTTTCCCAAGATTGTAATGTTTCCTCCACCCAAGTCCGGTGAGGATTTAAGCCCAATGTTATCTCCTCCAACGCATTATGGCTCCCAATGTTTGACCAGCTCCAGTCCAGGTTCATGCAGCCCAGACTCTTGTTCACCCTTTTTTGCCAGTCTCATGCATTATTGATATTTGGGGAGAGATTCTCTGTTATGGAACCTACACTTTGTACATATCAAAATACCAAAAAGTAGAAAAAAAAATAAGACATATTTTAATGTAAGGTTAAGTGGCAAATTAGTCTTTAAACTATAGGAGTATTTATATTAACTATTAAGAGTATTTATATTTTAATGTAAGGTTAAATGGTAAATTATCCATTATATTAACTATTAAGAGTATTTATATTTTAATGTAAGGTTAAATGGTAAATTATCCTCTAAGAGTACTATGGATTTTAAATTTATTTTTGATACAAAATTCTTGTTAAGCTTTTGAAAATTGTGCAATATTGGTATTACTATTAATAAAAGTTAATTTTAATTATTAGTGAATTAAAAAATGCATTGAAATTACATCATATGACCAGAAAATTATAAAAAATGAAGTTAAAAATTTCCAGAAAAAGACTAAAAAATTTATTGGTTATATTTTGTAATTTTTTAATGTTTTTTTTGGTTATTTTATGATCAATTAATAATTAAAGTTAATTTTTGTTAATAATAAAAGTTATATTGTACTGTTTTGAAATGATGAAGGGTAACATTATATCAAAAATGAATTTAGGACCTCAAATATTTTTGAATTTATAATTTAGGAATTAGTTTGTCATTTAACTTAACCTTTTTAATGTATTAAATGTTTTCTTAATCTACGTAATTGAATTTTATAAGACTTATATTTTAAAAGGAGGCTAGTACAGAATATCAGATGTTTCGTTAGGGAAAAAATGACGTGTTGACATTGATAGCTTCTATCTCCGGAAAGTACATGTAGGCGCAACAATAAATCAACAACTAAGCTTAGTTGTTAAAACTTCTTTTCTTTTTTGACCAGATTAGTTGTTAAAACTTTAAATCAAAACTTTATTGAAAGAATTAAAATATCGTATATTATATAGGGATGTTATATATCACATGGAAACCTAGATCACGAGCAAGCAAACACATGAATTATTATAATTTAACGAATTTCCATTCAATGACTTGTTAACTTCCCTGGGCTATGGCTACGTTAATAATTAATAATTATAAATTAATGATAATAAATATAGACAGTTTTATTTCAGCAATAATAAATGATTCATTCTGTATTTACCCTTGAATTTGGGTTTTAACTTTCAAAAATGCCCTCCAAATTATAAATCGAGCCGTCCTACTTCTCCTCTCCACACCCTCCATTTTTATGTTAAAAAACAAGTAATTATTAATTAATCAATTAATTAAGTAAATGAGGCCTTTGTTAAAGAAGATTGGTCCCTTACTCTTGCATGGCATGGGACCCTTTTCAATTATTCCCTCTTTACAGATTTAAGCACCCCTTGGATATTATTGTTTTTTTAATAAATTTTAGTGCAAATAGTTATATAATTATTTAGTTATTTTGGGCAAAAAAAAATATAATTATTTATTTAGTATAGCTTTCATTCGATTATAACTTCATCTTTAAATTTTAACTTGAAACAAGCACAATCCAATTCCTCAAGTTTTAGTCACTTTACTTGTTAGTCTCTCCTGGCCGCATAAAGTGTTAGGTTATTGAGACGAAATTGTAAATTTGGAAGTTGAAATTGCAAAACATCACACTATCAAATTTGGGAGACAAATTCACAATTTGCTTTCCCTATTTTAATAATAAATACAAATTTTAATGATTAAATTTTAAAAGTAACATCTTTATTTGAACACTTTTAGGAATTTGCAACTTTTTCTTTCCAATTTGCAATTTTGTATTATTGAATTTGCAACTTGTATTCTTAATTTTAAAATTAAGAACTTATTGCATTATATGAAAATACCAATTAATGATATAAGAGATTCATTTTTTTTTGGTAAATACCAATTAAAATTTGTTGGGACTTCATCCATTAAGAATATAAGGGATTTACTTTACATTTTAAAATTTGATGTGGCTTTACTAAAATAAAATGATTCCGTTGAAACTTATATGTGATTCTCTCAAAAATATTTACATTTTACTCAATGAATTGAAAATTTGATTATGTTATTTGTAAAAATAACAAGCTGAAGAGATTTATTGTCTTGGGTGTGTAAAGAAGAGTTAGTATATACACCAATGACATTAAGTGACAAATCTCATATTACTTGATAAATCAAGTTTAACTTTTTGTTCAAAGAAATGTCAATATTTAATATTCGATTGTATTTTAAATAAGATTATTTTTAAAAGATGATTGTGCACACTAAAAAAAAGTTAGTATATGTGTTGTGTGTGTGTCTATATAACTTTAGTAAAATTTAAAAATAATATTTATCACAACCTTTCAACATATACATAAAATTATATTTATTTTTTCTTTCAACTAAAATAGTAGACCTCATATAAAAAGAACCATATTTTAAGAAGAGAGCTATGAGTAGAGACAGCAAGGGCGGTGCTAGCAAGTGTCGTGATATAAATGGTGACAATGGGGATACCGGGCCAAAGGTGTTTCGCATTGGTGGTTATGGCGATTGCAGTAACGGTGGACTAGTGCAGTTAGAGAAGAAACTGAATGAGTTAGGGAATCATGCTATGGCTAAGAATGATAGTTCTAGCAGGAGATCGATATCATATAAAGACTCCCTCTTGAGTTTGAACTCAATAGGGTTTCTATCACAAATTGATAAAAACTGTGATATGGCCAATCATTGGAAAGGTTTTTTCACAAAGGCAAATGAGGAGAAAGATAAGGAGAATGAGCAAGTTGAGAACTCATAAGTTGAAGAGGAGGAGGTTGACAGAGTCAAAGGTAGACCACGTGAACTAAAGTTCACCAAGGAAGAATATGAATCTTGGAGCCTTCCATGGGCTAACTCATTGATTGTGAAATTGTTAGGAAAACCAATCACTAGGGCTAACCTTAAACCTCATCTTTAACATATGTGGAGAACATCAAAGCCGATTAATGTGATGGTGCTCAATAATGGACACTTTACTGTATCTTTCACATCGAAAGAGGTTATCAAATATGCTTATCATGAAAGACCTTGGATAATAGATGACTATTACTTGTTGGTTTAAAAATGGAGTCCAAATTTTAACTTATGGAGGGCTGACACCTAACTGTGAATAGCAGCATGGATACAAATTCCAGACTTACTTGTGGAATTTTATAGTGTGGAAGCTCTGAGAAGGATTGGTAATATAGTTGGTAAAACCATCAAGATAGACTTTTTTAATCCATGATAAAGAAGGATTCACAAAAATATGTGTTGAATTGGATTTAAGGAAACCTTTGCTCCCATCTATTGAAGTGTTTGGAGAAGACATTAGAATTGTTTATGAAGGGCTTCACATGGTCTGCTTTTATTGTGGATTATTCAGACACCATGTTGGAGACTGCCTGAATAAAGCTTATCAGGAAGCAGTAATAGCAAGAGTGAACCGGAACAAGGAAGGAGAGAATATAAAGATCAATGAAGTTATAATGAAGAAGGCAAATAGTTTAAAGGAGGATCTCAGCAGAATACAGGAGGCTCACGTGAACGATGGCACGTCAGTAACCACCGTAAAAGAGGCAACGGTGGCCTATACCACATTCAGCGCATGTAATCTGATTAAGCGAGATTTTTGCAAGAAGGAAATTAGAAAGGATATGACCATGGCAGGTATCATGAGCGAGAACAAAGGAGGACATAATTTGGATTCAAAGAAGGGAATCAATAGGAGCAAATTTAATGGTGAAAATCAAGTTAAAAAGGAGTTTCAAGGGAGAACTTTAAAAGTGGGATGACATCAGCAAGAACATTTCAAAATGAATTCTCCCCTAATCTTTTAGGAGATCTGCTAATGAGAACAAGCAGCAAAGTGAACGGGTCCCTCTAGATCTAACAGAAAAGGTAGGCTAAAGGATAGGATCAAGGGTAAAGAAAATAAACCTCTTGGACAACATAAAGTAAAAAAGGGAAAGCAAAATGATTTAAAAATCATGGGTAGCCTTAACCCGTTCTTGGTACTCAGCTCTGAAGAAACTATCTCCCTTGACAAAATAGAAGTTGGGCCCAATTTAGCTTTGTTTAGTATTAACGCATCACTTATTGTTGGACCAGACGCATATTCTTTTGGGTTAAACATATTTCCCATCAAGGATGTCGATGGAGTTAACATAATGGACATGGAAGACATGATGGATAGTGGCACAGTGCACGGAGTGCATTTGGAGAGCCAGGATGATGTTAATGGTTTTGAGGATATGGAGGGTGATATTAGCCCAACTTGTAACTTTGTTCCCAAATGAATTACATGATTTAGAATTCTTGAGATACAAGTTCTAAAACCTTCCCTAACCTCATTTGGGAGCTCAAAAGGTTTTACAAATTAGATTTCCTTGCTATTGTCGAAACAAGATCTAGTAGGGAGCAAGCGTAAAAAGTTACTGGTCGTCTGGGATTCAACAACTTTGGGGTCATTGATGCTCATGGCTATAGTGGGGGGATTTGGTTTCTTTAGAGAGATGACACCCTGTGCATTCAGACTATCAGAACCCCATGCCGAGTATGCTCATCTTTGCGTTGAATCTCCAGGTAAAGAAAAATGGCACCTTAATATTATGCATGCAAACCCAAATTTTAATATTTAAATCTAGGAAAATATTATTAATACGAAGATTGGATGGGATTAATAGAGCTCTTCATTGTGGAGCTCCTACACTGATTTAGAAGAAACTCAAATGTGTATATAGGCTGACTTGGAACAGGTGCTGATCCAAGAAAATCTCCTATGAGCTTGAAAAGCAAGAGCAGACTGGTC